CACCAACAGCCTCCTAATTTACTATGCGGCTTATTTATCATCTGTCTCCACGACTGGGATGGAAGCTCCACGAAGGCAGGGACCTCTGTCGGTCTGTTTGCTGCTTTACCTCCACTCTCTAGGGCACAGGGTAGTTGCTCAGTGAGTACTTGCTGAATCAATGAATTTCTCTTTAAAATGGTAAAACCATACAGCAGAATTTGTCTTTTGTTTTAAAGAACCGTTTTCTTGTTTTGTTGTTTTTAATGGGATTGAAACATACAGTTTCATAGATATACTCAAAATATGGCCTGTTGTTCTCTTGGTAATAATAAGAAAACTCTATTTTGGTTGCACTTGAGTTTCTCACTACAGAACATGTCTTCAGGTACTTAACTTATAGAAGGTCTTCTGTTTACATTTAGCAATAAAGTGTAAAGAGTGAAGCTATAATAAAAAATCTGAAGCAGAGTTCTTGCTTGAGGTTACATTCCAGTGTAAACTAAGAAATATTGATAGGAATTTTAATGACCGCAGCTCATATCTTATATACCAATAGAAGAAGTTTCAAAATTCCTTAGAAGTTATTCATCACTGTGTAGTTTTAAATGATGACTAAACACTAAACCACATCTACCCATAATACAAAAGCATATAGTTCAGACCGCGGTTATACAGGTTGTTTTGTAGAAAATTTCCATTGCTATTTCTATACACACTGAGTGTTTTTAGTCACTGACCAGTTTTTCTCTTTTCCTTATTTTACGACAACATTTGTTCCTTATATTGGCAACAATAACTCAGTTTGACCTTTTTGTATTGTGAACAGCTAACTTCTGGAAGTCCTATCTGGCTTAAGCATATAGGGCTGAAGTTCAGAAAAGAGGAACACGGTTCATAAAGAATTCATTCACTAATGTCACTAATATTTATTATCTACTCTATACTCACAACTGTGCTTGACAGAACAAATAAAATAGTAGAAACTCTCAGTTCAGGTCACAAACGTCCATCTCTTCTACAGAAAAGGACATGGACTCCACTTTTACAGTACAACTAAAGAAATCCTGGTAACTTTCAACAATAAAAATAAGGTTTGTGAGCTCGTGAAATTATCTCACACTAAACCTCAACGGCATCTCAGAGGACAGTTACCCTATCACCTCTTCTTTATACACTTGACTACTCTAATACCAAAAAAAGGGGGAGATCCAGTTTGCTAGAACATTTACTTTACCTAGATTTCATGATATAACAACGTTTTACTTAATGAAAACTATTTCAAAAACTAAAAACCAAAGCCCCACCAGGATGGCTTCTCAACAAATTGAAAAACTTCTCAACAGTGTCTTCTTCAACGATTCTTCAATCCAAGTTTTAAAGGAACTAGTTCTAGAAGATTTTATCATATTGATCCACCAAATCATAAAATCTCTGTATTTCCCCCTCACAGAATTATTGGACTAGGAATTATCTTGGTGATCATTTAGTTCAATACTTTTATTTTATATAATGGGGTGGAGACCCAAAGAATTTAGGTGAGTTGTAGCTCTTCTGTTTGACAAGGTTTCTCTACAGATCTTTAGCACTTTAGAGCTTATAAGAACCTAACAAGCCTCTCAATGGAATAACACCGCTGAGAGGCTAAAGGTCCTCAGCCACTTTGACAGAATCCTGGAGTGGAAGGGCCTCTGAGGTCACAGGGTTACAAATTCCTACCAAATGATTCAATTCTCTCTAACATCCCTCAAAATAGTCATCCTGTTTATTCAAGCACCTGAATAAGAGACAACATGCCATTTTTTTATGATCTCAACTTTTGAGATCTACTTTCACATTTTGATTTGAAAGCTGTCTGGTAACCTCCTCTTACAAGGCCTTCCTTCTACTCTCTGGAGTTAGGAAGACTAACACATACAATCTAAACCCTTTACCATGAGAGCTTCCTAACACGTGAGGGTAATGATCACGTCCCTGCCAAGCCCAGACATGCTCAGTTTATTCCATCATTTCTCCTAAGACCTGGCATCTAGACCCCTCACCACCCATGCTCTAAGGTCATCCGTGCCCTGTAAAACGCAGCCTCCTGAGCTCACTGGGAATGGCCAGATCATCTCTCTTGTTCTGAGCGCTATATTTCCATTATTTTAGCCTGCAAACCAATTTCCATTTTGATAGCCATGTGACACTGTTGGTTTAAACTGAGTCCATTAAGGCTTGAAGGTGAACAGCACAGGTCTCCTTCATCCTGGGCACAAGAGGCAATTCTAGCTGTAGGATGCCCCCTTCAACTCTTCCTTCGTCATGCACGTGTCCATGCAATCAGCGATCCAGTCAGTTGGTCTCCCGCCTGAAAATACTGACTAATCACTGTACACATGCAAAAGAGCATTTTTCTCCACTCACCACAGAAATTTCTGTTTATTTCTCATTAAGCTGTTGATAAGATACAGAATGAGTGAACTACTCCCTGCACCAAGTTTCCAGGCAGACAGAATTGTCAAAATTGACATTTTTTCCCTTAAAACCTTTAAAAACTCACACTTGACACATAATATGGATACAAAATCATCAATAACTATGATTCTTTTTTTTTCCTGGTTAAGGTTTATTGCTTCAGTCTCTTCCAAAGGATTTTTTTTAAACTTAAATCTTTATAGAAAAATTTATAAAGTTCCATAGATATCAAAAATTCATAAATTCCAAGGGGTTTTTGGATAACTCTTTCTTAAAAAATCACTAACAGAAAAATTTCACTTCCTATTAACAAAAAAAAAGTGCACACGCACACACGAGGCTAACTGATCATTACTGTGCTCAGTCACAGGGTGACAGAAAAAAAGCCACCACCATAAAAGGATGTCTGCATGATCTCCCTTAAAACAACGTGCCAAGGTTAACCTACTTCAGTTTGGGCGAATACTGACTGCCACCACACAGAGGTCCCAACAAGGCACTAAGAGGTAAGTACCAGATATTTTGCTTTTTCAACAAGGTCTTGTGAGTTAAGAAAAACTTTGAAACCCTAATTAAGGTTGAAGGTAAAGGTAAAGAATCTATTCAACAAAAAGCTATAAACATTTCTAACAAAGATTTTATCATTAATATAGTTGAGACTCTCTGGTGACAGGCAGTTCTAATAAGCTGATACTAAGCTGGGTGAAAGCAATGGATCATGCCAGAAATATCTTTGCCAAAAAACAGGGCTAACTTTGTACTTCTGTGTGAACTCACAATTACAAAAAACAGTATCAAATATTAATCATCAAATACTGCCAGTATTTCAGGATACTTTATGAAGGAAAGGAACAAAGTTATTTTAAAATGGAGTATTCCTACACTTAAATGTACTGTACTTATAACAAGTTATACAGCACAATTTAAAATAAAAGAGTTAGTACATGTTACTATTTGACCACATATGTAAGTACATAAAAGTCTTTCCTATACTTCTATTATTTCTCTACTTTTATACTTTCTATTATTTCTCAGGATAGAACCCCAGTAGTAGAATTCCTGGGGCAAAGGGTACACATTTAAAAAAAAAAACAACTTCAGATATAAATTGATATTTTTCAGTTTACAAAAACATTTTACCAATTTACTTTCCCACCAGTGACAGTCTGGGCCTCACTGCTTCTCAGCCAACATGAGTATTTTAATTCTAAATATAAACTATTAATCTAACAAGTGAAAAAAGAACATCTCTTTGCTTTATATTTATTTGATGATCAGAAAGACTAAACACATCTCCGTATTTTTTTCTAGAACTTCTGTGTGCCTAAAAAATATCACAAAACAATGAATTAGATGCAGTGAATTGCCAGTATTTACGTCCAGGTTGGGAATGGAGGTAGCAGAAACTTGGTAAAATATAAGCTGTGCAGAGACTTCCTCTAAAGGAGGGTGTGTTGTTGTCTTTTATTTTGGCGGGGGAGGTGGTCTCACTTTAACAAGTACAATATAGTGCAGTGGTTAAGAGCATGCGCTCTGGAGTCAGGCTTGAACTGGGGCTCCATTATTTACCAGCTGCGTGACCCTGGACAAGTTACTTCTCAGGCTTCAACTGCTTCATTTGTAAAATGGGGAGTAATCATACTGCCCAGGTCTTACAGCACTGGCTCTCACAGTAAGTGCTGGAAAACTGCCTGTTACCATTCTCTCTTCCCTCTGCCCATTAAACCACGGAAGGATGAATCCAATACGCAAAGTTTCCTCGCCCTATCGTTTCTATGGGAATTCTTTTTCTTGAACTTATTTCTAGATCTTTAGAAAATATTTTACATAGACTGAGTCTGTGGATGATTATACATCTAACTGTGTTTTCTGTCTGGACTTTGCATTTGCGAGTATTTCAGTGCATGTTTTCTCTTGGGGGTTAATCATAGTTTTTGGACATAACACTGCAAAGAGCACACCGCTCCAGAAAGCATTCTCCCTCACAAGGTTCACCTATCATGTGGTGGTGGGAATTCCTTTTATAAATCACTTTCAACTAGCTTGAAAGTTAAAATCCTCTGGAAACGACAGAGGTAACAAAGATCCTTGTGGTATCTGGAAAGCCCAAAGAGAAGAATAAAAATATTTTGCTAAATACCTGCAAATATTTAAATGCCAGTAAAAATCAATTAACAGCATAAGAGCTGTCCTAGGTCTTCACCATCTTCTCTCAGTGGAAATTTCAGTCCAAGCTGTTTTATAGAAATCTTGTTAAAAATAGTAAAAATCTAAATTTATTTATAAAACTTTTGCTTACTTTGAAATATGCTACAAATAAATTAATGAATTCCTGATTTATATCAGCATATTTCCCTCCTTCCCTCCCTCCTCCCTCTCCCCACCTCCCTAGCCCTTAACTGCTCTCTGGTTGAGACAGGTGTATGAGTTGGTTTGCGTTAAAGTTTTGAGATGTCTTCCTATTTCACTTGTTTCCTACCAATAACATCAGATCATGCTGGAAATAGGAGCTAGGGGCTAAAACATACTACACTGAATGTGATTTCTGGAGCCAAACTGCCTGGATTAAATCCTGACACTTAACAGCTGTGTCTTTAGGCAAGACTCATAAGTGCTTTGTGCCTCAGTTTCACCCGTGGCAATGGATTTGGGAAAGTTTTGTGAGATTCAGTGAGTGAACATACATAAGGTGCCCGGGGCAGTGCCTGGGACACAGTCTATGCTGAATAATACTGGTTACTATTATCAATCAAATGTATCCTGCAGTCTGATAAGAAACTCTGAGGATCAAGAAAGCTGGGATTCTGCTATTCCTTAATGGATATTTATTGAGCATCAATCATGGGCCAGCTGGAGATGCACAAAATTAACAACACAGCCCCCACTCTCAGGACTTCACAGGCCAGTAGGAAACAAAACAAAAAGTACAGATGCCAGTACAGAGGGCAGTGCCCTGGTGAGGACACCCCACACTGCCTTTCTGCGGGGCAGGGGGAGGTGCTGTCGGGGCAGCAGGAGAGGATAAAACCAGGGAAGCTTCCGGGAGCAGCTGATTCTGAGCGAAGCCCTGAAGGAAAGCAGGAGCTGAGGATCCAGGACCGGGGAGAGGAGGCTCCAGAGAGAAGGAAGAGGGTCAGAAAGGAACAGAGCTGTGAGAGAACACAGGACATCAAAAGACAGCAAGCAATCTAGTAGGGCCGGAGCCAGGGGGGTCACAGGATGGAAGACGGCTAGAGATCCAGCTGAAGAGGGAAGCAGACCCCGACCACGAAGGAGACTGTGTGGCGTGACAGACGGCTTTCAGTTTGCCTGGGCACCATCTGAACGGCACTGTGCACGCTGCAACTGCAACTCCACGGAGAAGTGAGGGAAGCCTGAGGCAGGCAGGGCAGTGGGAGCAGCACGCACACAGGCAGACGGACAGACAGAAGGGGACGTGCAGAGGAGAGGCCGGGGGCCGGCGGGCTGAAGGCAGGAGGCAGCGGGGGACGAGGACACGGAGGCCTGCGTGGTCCCTGGCTTGGCAACTGTCCTGAGGGCGGACCCTGAGCAAATGATCCAATCTCTCCCGAATTTTGCTTATCCATAAAATGAGGATATTTAATGTTTCTAAGTTCTATGAGGTAATAGAGACGAAAATCAAAATCTGAAACTCGCTTGAACTTTAAGGAGAAAGGGTTGTTTCTAGAAATATTTTGGATTCAGAGGATAAAGATTATACTGACTCAGCCCTTCATTATAAGGAGTCTCTGTATATTATGCAGTTGGTTATCCTACATACAGGTCAAATCATGCCACAGGGAAACACAGTATTTGTCTTCCTTACACTGAAATGAGTATTACGGTGGGATTATATTTTCTTCCAGTTCCTAAACATTATGCCATATATTTCAAGTCCTTAGTGCTACCACCTCCTCTGTCTTCATCTCTGAAGACTTTCATACCGTCCTAGTCAGTATTCAAGCTGCCAACAGCTACACAAGGAATAAATAATCAGTGAAAGGTGAAAGAAAACTAGCCAGACTGTGTAAAACCCCAAATGTGCAAGTGGGTGTTTAACCAGATAACACAAATGTCAGGCACCTTTCACTTTCCCATCAATTCCAATGTACGTGTTTACAGAAGGTGAAGTGTCTTTAGCGGGGGTTCAGGACACCGCCGAGGCACAAAGAGGAAAGTGCAGATGGGCCAATGCTGGGTTTTTGGTTTTCTTTTTCCTGTTCTGAAGAAGCTCCCTGTGCACTGTCCTACACATGACCCTGTGCAGACCTCCTGAGAGGTGGGCAGGACCAGGCTGTGTCCTGGGGTGAGCCGCAGGGTCACCCTTCCACAAGCCGGAGGATGCAAGCAAGCGAGCTCCCTAGGAGACAGGGAAGAGAGGTGCCCTCAGACACACTGACCACAGACGACTCGACTCCTGACATAAACACTCTGGCACGTGGGAGGTTCCGTCTGAGAACGTGGGAGCACCTGTCAGTGGTCACCTTTCTGGACAATCTTCCCTATATAATCTCCCAAAAAATCAATCTTGGACACAGCTATCAACCTAGGACTCAAAGCTAGTGGGAAAAACGTATCACCTGATAGTGTAGGAAGATCGCTTTGACTAGGTTATCGGGGTGTGTGCTGGCTGTCAGAGCGGTTGAGAGCAGGGTAGTAGTCTGGAACGGCCATCAGACTGCACCAGTGGAGGGACGCGAGGCTGGGCCTGTGCTGGTCACTGCCCGTCTGTGCCTCAGGGATGCCTGTTTCGCAGGCCAGTGGGACACACAACTGCTCAGGTGATGGTTGCTGAGTCACCGTAAAGCAGGTGAGAAACATGACTGGTTGAGTGCTAGGCCCCGGTATGTGTGACACTGGACCAAACTCAGATGTCCCTGTTTGCTCAGCTTCAAGAACAAGGAGGCTTTTTCAAGCAACTGACAAATACATATAAAACTAGGTAACAGGAGGAAGCAGCAATGATTTCTTTCTTCCACGGGGTATGTTTGTCCTCAAAGGCAGTAAACAGCCCCAGCCTGCTGTCCTGATCCATCTGTGCTCATCTGTTTCCCGGGAGACCAAATCCTTGTTGCTCCTTTCAGCCTGGAGCCTTCCTCTGCCCCCTCCTTTCCCAGTGACTTTATTTTCCCACTCCAGAAATTTTCCCTCAATCTTACCCCTCTTCAACAAAATAACCAAAGGACAGTGCAGCAACAGAAATCAGGCAAACAATGGGATCAAACAACAACACTCATCATTTAACGACAAGTATCACTTGTATCTGCAAGTCCATTCTTTGGGTTGTTTTTGAGAGCGTACTCCTGTAACTTCCTCTTTGGTGCAGGCCACTGTGGGCACTTTGAGTCACAGTATCTCAATGTGTAAACATGGTCCTGAGCAGACTTCACCTCACAGAGAAGTCACCTCTTATTAGTGATCATGTCAGCATGATCTGACCCATTCGATTCATTGCTAAGGACTGAATTTAAACAAAATTACTAGAAGTTTAACCCCTTCTCACTTTTAAGTGTTGATGATTATTAAGCGAATAAATATTAGGGGTATTCAGGACATTTCAGGAATCTTAAAGCTAAACACTAAAAGCTGGTATTCTAGCATTTACTAAATCTTTGAATATAATGAGGATTTTATTCTGTTTCTGCCACAAATAAATCATTATCCAAGCAAGTAAATTGGGATTGCAGAAGTACCCTGTGAAAAGTCACAAATGCCTCCAAGTTGGTATCCAGGGTAAATAGTTCTACAGTACAAATCACATTAGCTCTTAGTTTTCTTTAATACTAATAAATGAGTTTTGAGGGGGCCTTTTATTTTTTCCTTTCTGTGGCTATAAAGAACTTGACAGTTCATGTCAACATGTCTGGTTATGCAAAAATGACACGATAGTGTCTTAAGAAACACTAGCTACTCTATTAGTGAGGAAATCAATTCTAGAGAAAAGCACACACAGGCCCACTTTCAAAAATGTAAGTGAAAATACTTCGGAGGATATTTTGCTGTGGAAGAACTTGCTGTTTTACACGTTAGGATAATAGTAAAGTTAAAAGGATCAATATTGCATTACAGAGACAAACCTGAGATAGCCTCGTTTGCTTATTAACAAAAATGTTAAGAGGACTGGCACAGATGGCTGCCCCGTAGTTCCTTGGGTGGAACCTGAATAAGGACCCACACTTCCCGCAGCCCAGGTACTATCTGTGCCCTCAGGGCAAAGCTTGCAATCCTCATTCTTGTCTCTCAGCTGTGAGGCACTAAGGACAACTTAGGGACATTGTACATCTTTTCATCAGAAAGCATTATGAGGAAATTATAATTATTACAGGTACAAGTATTCTAAGGAAAAAAAATTTAGAACAAACATTTCTTTATGCTTTTCTTAAGGCAACAAAATGGCGAGCCATAGTATCACGACTTTCAAGTACAACTCAGTATGTCTATCCTAAATACCATGTCAGACGCTGTTGTCTAATAATTATGACAAATATTTAAAATATAGTGAAAGAAAGAAAGGATTTAGTTATGACTAAAAGAGGAAGGACTAGAAACAGTTAAAAGGGGAATTTGCAATCGAAAGGTTGGTAAAGGAGCACTGTAATGCAAAGAGCAAGCAGAACCCGGGTGTGGTGTGTGTGTGAGAAGAAACATAGCAAATACTGAGATAACACCTCATTCAGACAACAGCACATTCCCAACATCCATCCTTCAGTTTGAGGTCCTCAGACATTAAAAGGTATCATTTCTGAATTTCCAGGATCTAGCATATAGAGGAGGCACTAAACCCAATTTTTGCTGAATAAAAGAATGGAGTAAGTCAAGGTTCAGGAAAGTAATCCTGAATCCTAAAATGATTAAAGGAAGGGATAAAATAATATTTCCGAAGGAGGATGATAATAAATTGGGATTGGTTGGTATAAGAATGGGATAACAACAGTCAAGTATGTGAAAGTGGTTTTCTCTCAATTTGGAAAAGATAAAATGGACTAAAACTATAGCATTAGTAACACAGGATAAGTAACACCAAAGGTAATATACTAGAGCTGTTGACGGATGGAATCAACCTTCCAGAGGTTACTAAATATCCAAAAGAACACATTTCAAAACAGCCCAGATTCTCCTTTACTTGAGATCCTCTGGGTCAGCCCATTTACACATCCACGTTGTGCAAGTGCCTTTCTTGGACCGACTCGGGGCAGGGGCGGGCGGCAAACAGCCCTTCCCCAGTCTCCCCCTCAGGGCTCCATGACGCAGCGTCCACCAGTCTGGCCTCCCACTTGGGAAGGCACCTCTCCTGGAGTGGGAGTCCCGTTGTCCTCTGGAAGAATCGTCTCCCTGCTCTGGAACGGCTAGGCCACATGTGCCCCGGCTGTTTGTGTACAGGTGAGGATGGCCCTGAAGCCTAGACCAGTTTGAAACTACAAACTCTCAGTTCTTGAAAGGCAGCGTGAAGCAGTTGCCCCTGCCGAGGACTGGACAGAGTAGGAGGCTTGAAGCCAGGTTGGCAGAGAGAAGGATCCAGCATGACTCTTACCTGCTCTGACAGAGGTTTCCTCGAGTGGAGAGTGGGTGCGTGATGGCAACACCTGGCTTGCAGGGCTGCTGGGACGGTTCTTCCAGACATGACTTAAGGTAGGCACCTAGCGAAAACTAAGGCATAAATCTGAATAAAGAGCACTAGCTTTGAAAAGTATGTCAGAGGACAAGGCTTTTGCAAGAAGAGCTGAATTTCAAAAAAGATTTCTTCAGATTAAAAAAAAATTATTTACCTATTTACTCATTTCACAGTCAATTCATGTTTGGTGTTAAAAATTTAGAATATATGATGAAACTCAAAAATTACTTGTACTTGTGAATTATGTTTTGGCCTATATATCCATGCAGGAATGTGTGTGTGAACAGCTGCTTTTCCTACCCGCAAAGTGGCCTGTTGTGGAATCTGCTTTCCTTACTTAACATCATTCTCTGTCAGGAAATAGGCATCTACATTGCCATTTTCAGTGGCTGCATCGTATTCTACTATATGGCCATAAAATACTAAACCAGTTCCCTAATGATGGACATTTGATTTGGTTGCAAATTTTCGCACTTAAAATTAACACTGTGTTAAACATCTTTTTCTTAACTTAAAATGTTCTGAAAACACTGCCTTTTGTGACTCTACTGGGTGCTTTATTTCATTCAGTGAAGCAGCTGGGCGTGCATTTACAACTGGTAGGCAATGGCACATTCTCTGATTCATACATTAGTGTAACTTTCCTAATCTCTACGATAATTATTATTCAGATGGAGGATTAGCAGACTCCACAGTGTATTTTTTTCCCCACCATGTATTTTAAAGGCAGTTCCCAGGAACCTGCTTTGGAAGACTCCTCGAAATAAAATTTACATGTTGAGATTTTCAGAAAAACATTTTTTCTCACAAAAATTAGAAAAATAAAGGCAGCTCCTGATGCCTGTTCCTAAACTGCAACCCGTGCCTGGAATTTCCACCTCTCCCTCATGTCCGGTCTCGGCTCCTGAAAGCCACTTCTCACACGAGCGAAGCCTTTCCCTACTAACTGCAAAAAGTTTTCCTACTTTTATTCCACAACTGCAATTTACACAATTTCCCTTTCAAGGATCACTCCATCCCCCCACCCCCGCACAAAATATAAAGTCCATATTTATTGGTTTTTGTTTGTTTTGTTTTCTATTTCATTAATATCTCCAATTAATTTTATTATTCTACTTTTTTGGGGGCAAACTCAGTTCTTTTCTAGCTTCTTGGAGCTGTATATTTAACATAGCTATTTTCAATTTTTTAAGAAATAAATGCATTCAAGGTCTTGCATCAATCTCGGATTAACTCTTTAGCTGCATTCCACAGTTTTGTAGTATTTTTGTCCTTTGGTTCTAAGCACTTCAAATTTTGCATTGTGATTTCTTAACCCATGAGTTCCTCAGAAAAATATATCTTTAGATTCCAGGTGCATCCTTTACCTTTTTAATTTTGGTTTCTAACTTAGTTGCATGGTACTACTCACAAGGAATGTGAGCTGCTAGCTAACGATTTTCTGAGAAATCTGAGACGCCTCTCGTGATCTAGTACATGGTTAAATTTGCAAATAATTCTAATGTGCTTTCAGCACAAATTCTGTTAGCTTTTAAGTCATGTTGGGTCAATCTTTTTCTTACCTGTCATATTCTAATAAAAATGTGTTAAAATCTCCCATTATGGCTGTGGATTTGACCATTTCTCCTTTAAATTTTGTCAAGTTTTGCTGTTACACGTACAGTTCATGATTCTTTTCATGTCCTTGGTGAACTGTTCTTTTTAACTTGTGTAGCGACCTTCTTTACCCCTATTAATATTGATTGTGCCTTGGATTCTATTTTTTTCTGATGTTAATATTGCTACTCTGGCTTTCCACTGGTTGGGGTTTGCCTGGTATGCGTTTTCCCATGCCTCTGTTTTCAAACTTTCCAAATCGCTTTGAGTTCCCTCTTTTCTAAGCAGCATACAGCTGGATTTTTAAAAATCCAGACTGACAGTCTCTGTCTTCTAATCGGTGAGTTCAAGCCATTTAAATTTGTTGTGACGCATTTCCTACCCTCTTATTTTGTGTTTTCTACCTATCATCCTCATCCTTTGCTGTTTCCCAGTCTCCTTGCTTGTATTCCCTTGATTAATAAAAAGTTCTACTTTCTTTGCAGCTTCCTTTTGCCTTAGGTTGTATTCCCATATTTTCATGATTAACCTATCAACACTGTAGATGATGCACACCTGTGACATTAGTGCAAGCCTCTCAGAACCCTCCTTGTCCGTCAGCATCACTGTCTTAAGACGGTTAGAACTAAGTTAGCAGAGCTCCAACTCATTTAATACAGCAGTCAGAGAAGTAGATTTGTGGTCACTGCTTTGATAAGGCTAGGGATAGAGTTCTTTCCTTTAACATATAGTACCATCATCACTAGATATATTGAACTTTCCCCTCAGCTTTGGTGACTTTCAGATTTGTGCATAGAGATAGACCTATCAGAAAATTATTTTTCTTCTAAAAATAACTTCACGGAATTTGTTGCTCTTCTCTTCCTTAGTTTTATCCAAGTTCAGCCTCATATATGGAGTTTTATTGTAGGAGTTTCCCACTTTTCAACTGAGGACTTGAAATTTCATCTTAGACGTTATTTATAACAAGAAAAGAGTTGGAAATAATCCAGATATTCATAAAGGGAGTAGGTAAGCAAATTATGCATTAACACACTGTAATACTGCAGAATATCTATCAAATGTCTATATAAGATCTACACATAGGACAAAAATATAGATTACACTGATCCATGAACATGGTAAATGAATAAAGCAGAACACAGAACACCACGTGTGTAATGCTTCCTACAGTGTGTCCATGTAGGAACACACAGTGCATGCATCAGCGGGGTATCTGCATCAATTTTAAAGTTTCCCCTTGAAGCTCTTACGTTTTTTCCCTTTCTGTTTCTTTTTCTTCTTTTTTTGTTGGGGTTGCTGTGGTCATCGTCTTCTTTTCTTTCTTTCTTTCTCTTCTTTTTTAAGAAAACCTAACAAAGACCTTAGCTTGTTTCTCACAATTTTTGGGTTAACACAAATCAGATCACTGTGGTGAGTCCATATTTCACTACATAAATGTGTGACTGACTTCATTTCCTGGCAGTGATATGCATTTGGCGGAAAAAAAAAGTCCAACTGATATTCAATTTAAAAGCAAAGTTTTACGCTTCCTGAAATGTGGGGTGCTTTACATGATTTTACCCTTAACCAGACGATGATTCAGAAAAAGGAAGGGGAAATTTCTGCCGAAAAAGTTAGTGCATTCCCTCTTCTCGCAAAAATACATTTGCCCTATTTAAACGGTTCTATTTCCTTTGCCAGAGCTTTGCCAAAACCACCAAATTGTGAGAGTAAAAACATAAATTCTATTCTCTGCTCTTTCTGTTACTATATAGTATGTAACCACATTACGTATCACAGATTATAAAAAATTATATCAATCTTGAAATTTTAAAAGTTAGATCTATAGGAGGCAGTTTTTATCGCTTTTAGTTAAATATGCTTTTTTAATTAAACGTACCCTTCTTGGTTTTTTTAGAGACCTTGAACACTGCTGATGGATATAAAAATGGACAACTTTACTACACCCTCTGCAGCTCCTCTGGAGAGCGACTGTGACCTCTACGCCCACCACCGCACAGCCAGGATCCTCATGCCTCTGCATTACAGCGTCGTCTTCATAATTGGGCTCATGGGAAACTTGCTGGCCTTGACGGTCATTATTCAAAACAGGAAAAAAATCAACTCTACCACTCTATATTCAACCAATTTGGTGATTTCAGACATACTGTTCACCACCGCTCTGCCTACACGGATAGCCTACTATGCACTGGGTTTTGACTGGAGAATCGGCGAGGCCTTGTGTAGGATAACTGCTCTCGTGTTTTACATCAACACGTACGCAGGCGTGAACTTCATGACCTGCCTGAGCATTGACCGGTTCTTTGCTGTGGTGCACCCGCTGCGGTACAACAAGATGAAAAGAATCGAACATGCAAAATGCATTTGCATATTTGTCTGGATTCTCGTATTTGCTCAAACACTCCCACTGCTCATAAAACCTATGTCAGAGCAGCAGGCTGAAAGGACTACGTGCATGGAATATCCAAACTTTGAAGAAACCAAATCTCTTCCCTGGATTCTGCTTGGTGCATGTTTCATAGGATATGTACTTCCGCTCGTAATCATTCTTATCTGCTATTCTCAAATCTGTTGCAAGCTCTTTAAAACTGCCAAACAGAACCCATTAAGTGAGAAATCTGGTGTAAACAAAAAGGCTCTCAACACAATTATTTTTATAATTGTTGTGTTTGTTGTCTGTTTCACACCTTATCATATTGCAATTATTCAACACATGATTAAGAAGCTTCGTTTTCCTGATCTCCTGGAATGTAGCCAAAGATATTCATTCCAGATATCTCTGCACTTCACAGTATGCCTGATGAACTTCAATTGCTGCATGGACCCTTTTATATATTTCTTTGCATGTAAAGGGTACAAGAGAAAGGTCATGAAGATGCTGAAACGTCAAGTCAGTGTATCAATTTCCAGTGCCGTGAAGTCAGCCCCTGAAGAAAACTCACGTGAAATGACGGAAACTCAAATGATGATACATTCCAAGTCTTTAAATGGAAAGTAAAAAGGAATTAAATCTTGGATTTATAGCAAAGTAAACTGTATGACAAACTTTGCACGACTTTTCTTATAAATCAAAATGATTGTTTAACTTCTAATTAGGGTTCTTTTAAATTCCTTTCATTGGGCACTATTTCTCACCTCCAACTTGGAAGTAAATTGATATATATGCATTTTTTTACACTCGAGAACAACATTAAGCAAAGTTCTAATTTGTAAATGAAATACTACACCAAAAGGGAGCGTATTTTAATAACTCACAGTGTAGAAAGAAAAGTTTTGTGTTAATGAAAAATTTAATCATTAATATTTCCTGCCAATAATTTGGCAAAAGAAAAAAAGACTGTTAAAATTGTATATTGCCAGTGTAGAAATGTTAATATTGTAACATATTTTTTCTTTTTTTTGATAACATATTTCTTCAGTTCATGTTTCTTTCAATCTTAGACTTTATCTCCTCGATAATAAGTCTTTTTGTTTTGTTTTGTTCTGAGTCATAAATTTTTGTTTCAAAAAACTCTTTTGGAATAAAGAGCTGGATGCTACAAAATTATGAGTATGTCCTTCAGTGCTCACTGTCAACTCTCAGCAAAAGTTACAGGGAGGATAAAATTAGCAGTAGACAGAGTTTGGACAGCAACATTATGGTGATGAATGCAATGAAAGCTCTTCCCAAACACCCAGCATAGCATTCAAGGGCCACTGCTCAGGAATACGACAAGGACTTCATGTGGAAGGAGGCACCACTTGCTAAATTCTTCTTGAGAATAAAAAAGTATACAAATAGCCTTGGTTTTTCTTGGGTCCCTAGGGGATGGCTTCTTATTTATATAGAAGTTGACAGTACCCTGTATCTGTATTTCAGGGGTTGCGGTTACCAGAAAGGGTAGGGAGGATGAGCAGTGGGGTGTAGTTGTCGCTTGCCTAAAGAAGATGGGGAGTAAAATGCAAAATCATAAACTTCAGAGTAGCCAGGATCCTTTACAACATTATATAAGTAAATATATAAATTTTATATAAATAAATACCTTTTTATGAGTAGCATGACCTCTGCAAGTACAATCACCCGTCTGCCAGCTCAAATTTGCTTTATTGAATCCCCAAATTACCCCAATACAGTATCCATGTTAGCAATGATACCAAGTTTGATGACGGAACTAAAGAAATGAAATGCTGTGTCATGAGTCATACTTAAAATTTTTATTAGGCTTTATATCCTGGAAATATTTTCTTTTAAAGTCTTCTCTTACTCATTTTCAACTTTTATCCTGTAAGAAAACTAATCTTAATGGTTGATTCAGCACCATTTACTGAGTGCTTTCTGATTTGTATTTTGTTAATTTCATAGATAGCTGGCTGACCTTAAAAAGCCACTGTCAAAAATAGGCACTGGTCCTTGTTTCACCTTACGGAGGCAGGTGAGACCACAAGGATTCAAGTCAGGAACTTAGGGCCTCTCCTTCACTCCATCTAATAAACATTTCCAAGTGAAGGAGAAAAAAGGGCAAAACACTAAATTTTATGCAGGGTGGCACTTATGTAGTCATTTGAGTTGGATCCCAAAAGAGAAACCATTGTGAAAGTTGCTAACGGAAAACCAGAAACAAAGCTTCCTGAATTTCAGATCATCTTCATGGCACACTAGCTCTATGACTATGTTCCAGCATAGACTATTGTATGTATAAGCCAACATGCTGTTTCATAGCAGGTAAGAGAGTCCTCTCGGTGCTAATGGTCAGTTCTTAAGATCCTCCAAACAAGGTAGTAAATACCTATGTCACTTGACAAAGGAATGATACACGCTTCTTTCTGAGTAGTTTTCTCCCTCCTTCTTCCACTATATCACAAGTCTGCGCAAATGATTTTATCCAATCATCAGTAGCCATACTGCCAAAAAGGTAAACTTTAAACCTACTTCCAATCAATCTTTTTTAAAAAAAGGTCTGTACTCTAGTCAATTCAGCTATTCGCTCTCCTTCAAAAGGACCTTACTTCCTATTTCATTCATGAAGCCACTGTTCACACACGGCCTTGGGGCACCCTCCCAGTGTCTTGTAGTATTAGTTGGCTTTAGGTTTATCTCCCATGCATTTCCCTCAGGAGTAGGTAAACTTGGAGAACAGGGACAATGCTGTATAATTTTGTGTTCTGTTACAGAAATAAGGAGATGGCCTTATATATAATACATTATTCGAAAATCACAACCTATAAATATTTTCTCCAGCAGTCAGGTGATATATTATTAACAATTTTAAATAATAACATGTAGCTAGGAAAAATCATCTAGGAAAGCTGATAGCTACATGGCAGCTAACCATATTTACCTCTTCCATAATTTTATTTTTATTTCTAAAAGGATCATTTGATTAATTTAAAAAAACCTCTCAAAGCTACTTAATTTGAGTCAGTATAAACATGTAGACACTTCAGTGATAGTACAGAATAGATAGTTTAGAATAGTAAAGGTTAGATTTTAGAAATGACATCATGTATATACGAAGAGTGCAATAGTTCACAAAAATAGTCCATGCAGTATGTGATGTCTTCCTTTTCACAATCCTGTGAAACAGGATGAGCAGATTGTATCACCCACACTTTATAAAGAAACCTAAATTCAGAAAAGGCACCTGGTGAACTAGAGGCAGCATCAGGAATGTAACCCTAACTTCACATCCCAGCCATAAAAAAGACAGAACTGAATCACACAGACCCTGAAAAAAGTATTACAAGGCTTGTTTCGTTATAGGCCAGCAGGTTAGCTAACCCTTAAATAGGACAAATAACCAAGAGTAGGTAGATTACAAACTCAGGCTATGAGTTCCCTGAGGATGAGAATGTCGTAGGTTATATACACAGCACGTGGTACAGAGCCTCGCCCACAGAAGGCTCTCAGATATCCATCTAATTGAATAGCACCTGTTTTGTACTATTACTAACAAAATACTAAAGCCCTACTGAAATATCTGTGAAGTTCTTAATTTTTCAATGAAATGAAAAGAAACTCTCTAAATGCTTAATTACATATGCTAGAGAATATGTAATTGTGTAATTGAAGACAAAGACCCTCTAAGACCCTGCAATATAAACTATATATAAACAATATAAACTAGACATATTAAAGAACAGAACTAATCTCCCAAGAAGCCAATTTAAATCTAGATACACAAATATGTTCTGCTTGAAAACAATTTTATATTTCAAGAGGCCAGGGCAGTGGTTGCCCTGTGGTTGCCCTACCGATCAGGAAAAAGTACCAGGCAATTTTAAAAGAGGAAGCATTGACCTTAAATTAGCCTTTAAAATGGTCTATTTTGGTCACTCTTAGCCCACTGTAATTTGTTATTCTTTGCAAAGCTAAAAACATTTGCTCATTGACTATTCAGGTAAGAGTGAAAAAATGAAGAGCTGATCTGGTGACAACACAGCCCACTCTTTTGAATCCAGGGAAGACTAAATGCACTCATGAGAACCGATGTCACCGGAAGTTTGTTTTATGTTAAACTCTGAAGAACTGGTCACTTAAAAAAATAATCCTCAAATTTCTACTCAACTAAAAGCTCAATTAGCTGAGAAGGAATGACTACTGACTGTTTACTATGTGCCACTTTTTCGAGCACCTGACACGCATTATCTCATTTAATCCTCATTACCTTAAGAGGCGGGTATAACTTTTCCTCCATTTTGCTGATGAGGAAACTGGAGTGCCAGGCCACAGAGACGTGGAGCTGGGGACTCAATCCAGTGCACCACAGGCACTGGCCCCAGTGCCTGTAGCCTGACTTGGAGCACAAGGATGTCACCTCCTACAGAAACATGTTCATTAAGAGAAGGCTCCATTCCTCCGCTTCCTGTGGCTTCCCAGGCCTCAGACACTTCCCATCACCACATCGGACTTTCAGCTTATCGTCTTTCTCCACAGGGGCCCCCTAATTTCTCTGCAAACTCAAGCTCCATTCTCTGGGTCACCCACACCTGATCATCCTCTCTCATCCATGGTATTTGGCCAGTGAACCCTGCTTGGGTTTTCTCCTCTTGCACTCACTCTTGCCCGTCTTTTCTTTGTCCCAAATCATCATCCTAGTCCGGATGCTGGCATCACACACCTAAATTACTACAACTTCTTTCCCACTGGTCCCATCAACTGGAATCAGAAACTTTAGCCGTCCTTTCAGGTGCTATAGTGGAAGCCAGCAGATTAATAATAACAGCAATGGGCTTCCCTGGTGGCACAGTGGTTGAGAGTCCGCCTGCCGATGCAGGGGACGTGGGTTTGTGCCCCGGTCCGGGAAGATCCCACATGCCGCGGAGCGGCTGGGCCCGTGAGCCATGGCCGCTGAGCCTGCGCATCCGGAGCCTGTGCTCCACAACGGGAGAGGCCGCAATGGTGAGAGGCCCGCGTACCAAGAAAAAAAAAAAAATAATAATAACAGCAATACTAAATAATTCCTAACAATTACATGGCATAATGCTCTAAGCAATTTATATATAATCAAGCCTCACAATAATTCTGTGAGGCTTGTCCCATTATTATCCTTGTTTTACAGATGAGGAAATTATGCTCCAGAGAAGTTCAGTAAATTGCCCAGATCCACACAGCTAGTAAGTGGAGAGGCAGGCTCTAGACTCTGGCAGTCTGGCTCCAGGGTCTGTCACTCTTAATCACTACATTGTCTCTCTTAAGCAAGTAGAATTATATGCCCAGGTCCTCAGAGAGCCTTGGAAGAGACACTTAACTGCTCGAATATCCTCAACTTCCCTTTGGGGGTGCACATGACTACCTCTGGCCAATGGGTTGGGGGCAAAAATGATATAGGTCACTCACTTCCAGGCTGGAGCTCTGGAGAGCAGCGATGGAGCTTCCATACTGCTCTTCTCTCCTGCCACAGCGACCAGCGAGGTTCTAAGTGGTGGGACCTTTGGTCAGCCTGGGTCCCTGAATGAGTAAATGGAGAACTCCCCACCCCTGTACCCTATCCACCTGTGTTGGCCAAGTAGCGCAAATAAGAAATGCATTTATGTATTCAGCCACTGAGATTTCAGGGTTAACTGTGGCCACAACACAGGCTAGCCTCTGATCAACACAGTGTTTAACCTACTTAGAATGCAGCTGACCAATACAATGAGTGTAAGAAAAGAAAAATGCACACATGATGCAGTTCTCCTGGCAAACAAACATAATCTTCCTTAGTCCCCGTTTCATCGTGTCATTTCACGCTCTAGGACTGAGAGTATTTCCCCATGGACTACCACATGAAGTCCAAATTCTTCTCCCACACTTTCAAGCCTCTGCAACTTCATTTCCCTCCACTGCCCAACATGTACCTTTCAAGATAGTATAGTTGGTCTGTGCTGTGAATATAACAAATATTTGGTTCTCCTGGTTGGATTATTCTGCTTCTGCCATTTATTCTTTACACTCATAGTCTAATCATACCTGCTCCTTTAATTCTCCTTTGACTACTCAAAGCCACGCATCTTCCCTTTCCTCAACATATTTGACTTTTATACAGCCTATGCCACATAGTTTTAACTTTAAACAAATATTATCTT